AAATACTCTATACTTTGTAACCCAAGACTTTTCTGTTCTTTTAGTCCTACAAACGTCTACCTACCTCAAAACCACCTTGAGTGTTTTCCAGCTCTCTTCTTGTTCATTTTGCTAGATTTTCCTCTTGTTATCTTAGTAAAAGCAATGGCATTCCTAATCCAATTTGCGCCCGGAATTCCCCGAACAAAAGCGATAAATATCTTCCCGGCTTGATTAAGGTAAAAAGTTTCGTAAATGAAAAGAAAAAGCAGCGGCCACATTTGATCTCGACTTCACCAACGGAAAGATCGAAGACAAGCTCAGACGAAATTACCCTCAGTAGTTCGAACCATCTTCTTTGATTTGCGAGCCTTTGTTTTCCAGATTATCATATGTCTCTATGAATTGTGCTGCACTACAGGTCTTAACGATTACTTTGGCCAGTGTTATTATAAGTCACCTCTTCCTAGCCAAATCCTTGTATTTATTCCCATAATATTGAAGAGTATAATTTAGACATGCTTATCCCAATATATTTCTATGTGTCATAGGACAAAATGTTTGTCAAGTTTGATTATTGTAGATCATCATAGAAAACAGATTATCARGCACGAAACTTAAGTASGAATCAATTAATCAATTAAGAAAAGTAGGTCTATTTGCTCTGAGTGTTATTTCTAGGATTACATGAATAGGCTCGACATTTTGGTTCCACATGTCGCAAGGGAGAACAGAAACGCGTGTCAAATTTAAACAGAATCAATTGATCGGTATAAGCAAGAAACGTGTTCTCGGAACCAAAATGTCAGTCCTAATGGTTTGCTTGAGGTTAAGGTCGACAGCTCAGCACKTGGAGTTGTTGGCCATCTGAGCAAACATTCTATTCACTTTTGACATCTCTAAAGCTTTTGTTCTCTGATAGTACTGCATAATCGGGTGTGTCAACAATCTATYGACGCCCCAACTTTAGTCTCAATAATCTCCTTCATTTTTGTTTCAAACTTGAATCACCTTCAAGTGGTAATTAGTTAAGTTAAGTGTATAGCGACTACTGTATGATCTATGCGATTTAGAGTTGAGTAAATCATAGGAATTTGGGTTAGTTCAAATTCCTCCTCGGGAATTGGGAACTAGCTCATTACTCCTCTGAGTCGCATTGACCAATCACAGTTAGCGTCAGGTCATTATCGGCTTGACGTCACTTTCTATAGACCACAAATAATACTTAAGTGCTTGTAGCACACACTAAGAGTTAGTTCGAGTTCGGGTTCTAGTTCGAGTTTTAGTTCTAGTTCAAGTTCAATTTCCAATTCACACTAAGAGTTAGAAGAGAAGTGTACAGACCAATAGTCAGACGAGCGAAGAAAACAACCAAGCGAATAAAAGACCAGAAAATCCATAAAGGTCTGCATGTGTGTACGTGGGACGAGCTAGTCCGCCCCATCCCAGTCATCGGGAAAAACACCCCGCGTCACATATGTCCTGGGGGGTGATTTAAGTGCGCTTAATTTTAATTGTCCCAAGTATATTCATTAAGCTTTCACTTTGGTTGAGCAAATGATGCCTTAGTTTGAAGACCTTTGATTAATTTTTTGTCAACGATTCAGACCACTAGCTCTACTTTCCTATGTCGGTGTTCCTATAATGTCTGCTGTTTTGTTAATATTATAGCCAGTCCGTTGGAATCGTTAGGGAATTTGCCGGGTTTTTGCCGAAACGTTCATTACAAGATAACAACATCAAAAATAAGTCGTTTGCTTGGCTATTAAAATACCGATTCACGTTGCTACAATGATAAGCAATGCTTGAAGGACGAAGAGCAGAAATATGCGGATTCATTCTGATGAAGGCTATCATGCCAGAACATCATGTTGTCAAACAATCTACGCGTTTTATCGGTAATCTTACATTTAATATCATGTCTGAACGCGAAAGCCTTAAAGAAACTATGAAGAGGTTAAAACAATAATAGTCTACTTTCACATGACCTAATTCAGAGGGGAGGGGTGGGGTTACCCAGTACCCACCCACTCAGGAAATGAAATCTATGATAACAATAAGGATTTATTGAATTTGTATAATATAAATCTCAATAGTCCCCTTCACAGTTCCCTGCGCCATCTTGAAAGGTAACCGTGCCTTTGCATCGAAGCGAGACAAACAGTGAGCTTGCAATGATAGAGACGTGTGAATAATTGTCCAAGGTGTTAAAAAAGGTCACTATCATTGCAAGCTCACCGTTCGTCTCGCTTCGATGCAAAGGCACGGTTACCTTTCAAGATGGCGCAGGGAACTGTGAAGGGGACTATTGGGGTATTTTGTCCTAAAATAGAAGGTACCCACCATACACCTCGATTCCTATTTTGGACCATTGTTCTAACTAACGTTGAAAGGCAGATATCTACTAACCATAATTTCTAAAAGCCAAGTTTCATAATGGTTTAATTGTCCAAAGGATTCTTTAGTTTTTTGTGTGTTTTGATTTTCCTCTTTATGGGCTCCCTTTGCTTTTTTCACTCCAGCAAGAAGCCCAAAAGACCGTGACGTCTTAATCGTATTTATAGGCGTGGCAAAATAGTGCGTGACAGTACTAATTCCATGAACTTCTAGTTTAGTAAGYAGGAGTTTCCCCACATTACGAAATATTTTTCTGGAATAAATTTCGTTTGGTGAAAACGAAATCTTTATAAGACGTGAAGAAAGGTTCGCTCCAGACAATCATCATAATGTCGATTTTCAATGGTGTCGAAAAGAGTCTAATGGGTCTGCAATGTCACTTCACATRGAAAGAAATCCGTCCAGTGCAAATGAATATCGAAAACCTTGAAGAGTACATCGAACAGACCATCCATGGTACCGAAGTTGAATCATACAACCTGATAGGCTTCTACAAAATAGAGGAGAAATCCTACATCGAAGCGAGAGAGCATTTCAATATAAAGGCTCTGGAATACACAAGAACAGAAGATGAGAAGAAAATCGTTTGTCTTGCTTGTCTGGTCTGACTGACCTGGAAGGAGGGGTCTTCAGATTCGTTTATTCAAGAAAAAATTGAGGAAGTCAAGAAGATTATAAACGAAAGAGGAAGTATGAATATTCCAGAAGTTATTACAGAGAAGGCATTTGCTATTTGTCGCAGCAGATTTACTCAAAGAGGCTACCCAGAAGCCTATAGGTGCATAATTAAAGCATTGGTTGCAAGGCCAGACAGCGTGAAAATGAAATTTAACAAAGGAATCGTTTTGAAAGATCTTTGTTTACAAAGCAAAAACCGTTCCTTGTTCGCCTGTTGACAGCGTAGAAGTCGTAGAGATGCAGAAAAATTGGTTAGAAATTAAAGAGAGTTGGAAGAAAGCTAAAGCATCGAATACTATTCCAGTATCTATGCTATGTCCTTGATCGAATATGCAACATTCCTGCATCAGGTAAATAGGGATTTTGGTCAAAGCGGTAGAAAACTAGAGCCGAACAAGCAGAAACAATTCTAGACAAGTCCAATTCGAATGCTGCTTTGATGAAGAAATTAGCTGAATTTTACGTTCACTCTGCCAAGCACAACAGCAAAGTCCTCGAAAAAGCGGAAGGCATTCTTGATAAAATTATAGAAGCGAAACCAGATTGTTCAAGAAGTCTCCAGCTACGAGGGCAGCTATTCTTCGACAAATACAAATTTGCAGCAAAAGAAGACAAAGAAAAGCATGTTTCTATAAGTCATGGAATAATGGTGGTATGAAAGATGTTTCGCCAGCTCTTGACCTTGTCAATCTCTGTCAACAGAAGTATGAAGACACTCTCGAGCCAGCAGCAGTAAGGGGGAACCGCGATTACTTACGGGAATTACATGGGTATTCCCCGCGCTCACGTAAAGGCGTCCGCAGCGGGTATTGCCCAGCGGCGCGATAATTCCCTTACTGCTGCTGTGTTTGCRAAATCTATGATATATATATGCACGAGTGTAAAGAATTTGCTAATGACTTCTGTATAAAGTGCTTGAAACCCAAGTTCGTAACCCCACCGCCAAGGAAGCTTGCTTGTTGTGGTAAACAAAATGCAAATAGAAGATGACACGTCAGCACAGTGTTACGAGTGTGGTAAGAATATTCGTAATGCCGTACCAAATGCTACCAGAGAGCAGTATTACGCCAATGGAGGTCGTAAAAAAACACCTTATAAGAGAATAAAATACTTTAGGGACTGGATGAGTCATATCCAAGGTTATCGACCGGTATATTTAGACAACGAAGTAAAGAAGAAAATCATAGACCATTTAGAAGAGCAGACCCCGCAAAGTCTACGGAAAATGCTGAAAAAGTTAAAGCTAGGGAAATATTACAAAGCTATTCCCTATCTTTTGTCTGAAATTACCGGCTACCCCATTCCCGAGGTTTCTGATATGACAAGAGCCGAGTGGATGTTTTGTCGGTTGGATAAGAATATTCCTTATTACCCTGACGTAATCTACGAAATATTCCACGAAATAGACCCCAACCACCCCCTGTTAGAATGGATTCCAAAAAGATAGTGGATCTTATGCCATAAGATGAGTAATTAGCATAAATCTTATGGCATAAGATTACGCATAATTTCAATATGTAAATAGAATCCTGTCGCGCTTTTTTCAAAGCAAATATTTACTGAGCGAGCTTTCTTTGAAGCTCTTCTTTTGCTTCTTGGTAGATCTTTTTGCGAGATTCCTCGGAAAGATCTTTTACGACTGTTTTTTTGTTTCTTATGTCCGACTTTAGTTTCTCGTACTTTTCCTCTTCGGCTAAGATAAGCGAGAATTCTACGTCATCTATYTTTCTGTCACGCAAAGCCTTTGAGACAAG